AAATGGTGTTCAATTCCCAAGCACAAATTTTAAATTCAATTTAAAATGTGCATTTAGTTAAACAGTAAGCTAAAGAACTAAACATTCTTTTTTGTAATGCTGGACACAACCTGTGAAAATTTTCTGCATTTAGATTCAACAATGCTCTTATCTGCAGCTCATCTCCAGAGAGACAATTACCATTTCCTTTGCCTTGATCTTGTTTGTTTAACTTGACACAGTGAAGAAAGGGCTGACATTGACCAAAATCCCTAGCATTAATTTATTTCATGTTCAGCATTCATCATTGCCATGGTGCAAGCAAGACCTGGCATTCATTTGAAATACCTGCCCAAGAAGCGCTACAGAAAAAAACCTGGCTGCTTGGAAACCAATACATTCTTCATATGATCAGAGCCATATGGACAGCTACAAATAATATAGGGATTTATTGAATTTCTTTCTTTTAAGGAACTTTTAAGGAATGATGTGTAGCATCTAGTTTGAAGTTAAAGTAACAAAATTTATTTTCTTCATGGCTACAAAGATTAAACAATTGAGCCTTGAATAAGTTGAAATTGAAAATGGAAATATTTGAATTATATGGTCTTGACCCCAGAGTACAGTTTTCCTTCTTTTTGTTTTTCTGGTTGTTTATAACATACGAATCTAATAATTATGTTCTCAAATGAATATGATTCTTAAATGAATACAACTATGATTTTTTAAACTTCCTCCATAAAAAAATTACTTTCCACATTGGAAATACTGTGTTGCCTCTTTTGAAGCAGGCAGAGAAAAGTCCAGCAGTGTTATTTCATGGCATACTTCTTTAAAAAGCATGCTTCGTATTCAACCTTTAAGCCATAAATAACTTGGCTTTAATGTCAATTAACCAACGTAACAGAACACTTCTTATAAAAAGTAAGAAAAAAACACACACCAAAGTAGAGCCTTATCCTTGAGGGCAGACATATCAACTTTTGTTGGCTTCAAGCTTTCTCCTTTTTCAGAACAAAGTGACAATTGTGTGGACTTAAAAATCCATTCTTGAACATCCATTTATGACCACGACAACCAAAAGATAAAAGCAAATATATGTTTCCTTTCACTACAACTCACCTGCAAAAATTCATTCAGTTCAACCTGTCCATTTTTGTTCAAATCTACTTCATTCAGAATTTCATGTAGTGTATTTTCATCCATTTGGACATTGATACTCTAAGTAAAAGCACAGAGCAATGAGGTTTAATTAAAAATTATGCATATCTTTTTACTAATGTTAACAAATTTTCAAAAATGACAACAAAATATTACTTGTAGAAAGCATTAGATGAGAAAAATATCCAATATCATCTTTATATTATTCTACTATCAGAGACTGATATTGAACCAAAGAAAACTACCTCTAATACACGCTGAACATCAACAATGGTAATAAAGCCTTTTTGGTCTGCATCAAACTTATGAAATCTCTTCTTGTACCTGGAACACAACATTGAATAATGTTAAAATATACTTACATAGGTAAGAGAAAAAAAAAAGAAAGAAACTTGTAAGAAGTACCTGTCAATGTCTGAAGGCAGTAGGCTAATTTCAGAGCGATCTGTTAACTGTTCTGATCGAGATTTATAGCCCATTTCATAATACAGAAACTTCTTGGCTGTTTCAAGTTCTTCCTAAAACAGAGACACACACAAAGTTCAAAGACTTATAGAAAGAATTACTGATTTTTTTGTTCTTTTTTTCCTTTTGGTCTTCAAAAGAAGAAGCTGATACTCACATATCCAATCAGCACAATTCCCGGTTTACTGAAGTACAATTTACATTCAATAAAATGTACACTGTACCACAATCAAAATCTAGAACATGTCCATCCTGCTAAAACTTTCCTCATGTCTATTTGAAGTTGATCTTTTCTCCTGACCTCTAGCCCCAGGCAACCATTGATCTGCTTCCTGTCACCAGAGCTTTTCTTTCCTGGAATTTCATACAAAAGATTTCATATAGTATGTAGTCTTGTGTTTGACTGCTTTCACATAGCATAATGATCCTGAGATTCATTCATTTTGTTGCATGTTTTGATATTTTATTTCTTTTTACTATGAGTATTTCTATACAGAGTTGACCAGCAAAATCTACAGGACCAAATTCTTATAGTTTGGTGACAAAAAAGCAATTAAAGGTGAAGGTTTCTAGGACTTGAGCAACTGCTGTAATGTGACATGAAGTGCCAAGGCAGATCTCATGAAATTAGCTATGCCGAAATTTTGCTACTGGGGTTCTGATAATTAGGTGGAAGTTACAGAGTCATGGAAGAAATAAGCTATCCTCAATAGTTACTCTTCCTGTTTTCATTGTCGCAGCCTCAACTGATGCTAACTATTGCTGCAAAAACTTAGTTTTCATCATGTCACCCTCCCATCTAATAACCTCCAAAATGACTCTATTGTACATTGTTCACAAATCTCTCTTACCTCCCACCCCCCGCCACCACCACACACAGTTCTCCCCTGTACGTACACTTCTCAACCTTACTGATGTGAGCTGGCCATGTGACCTAGTTTGGCCAATGGAATATGAATGGGTATGATACATGCCACTTTTGTGTAAATGCATTAAAAGACACAAAAAGACAACGCATGTTCTCACTTACATGTGGGAGCTAAAAAATTTGAACACATGGAGGTAGAAAGTAGAAAAATAGGTAAAAGAGCCTGGGAAGATGAGTGGGGAAGAGGGGGAGGAGGAAGAGAAGTGGGTTAAAGGGCACAGACACACAGTAAGATAGAAGAAATAAATTCAATGTTTGATAGCAGAGTAGGATGACTATGTTCAACAAAAGTGTATTATACTCAGGTGATGAACACCTGAATACCCTAACTAGATCACCATGCATTATACATAGGTAACAAAATTTCTCATGTACCCCATAAATTTGTACAAATAAAAAAGCTTTAAAAAAAATTTTTTTAAAGTAACTTTATGGTTTTGCTTAGCCTTTCTCATTCCTATGCCATAAGAAGGGCATGTCTCAGATGAGACCTGAAGCCAACCTGGAACAGAGAAAAGCCACAGCAGCTAGCATGCAGGTTTCATGTAATATAAGTGAAAAATAAATGTTTGCTATGATAAACCACTGAGATTTTGAAATTGCCTATTATATAGTCAGTATAACCTAGCAAAAACTGACGAATACACGCCTTAAATTCCCCAACGTCCCACCAAATGATCCTACTAACTCAATGGTTCCCAAATTCTGTTCTGAAGAAGAGTGTCAATGTGAAGTAAAATGAGGAAAATAAAACAATGGCACGTACACTTGCAAGAAATATGTTTTTATGTCCTCAGTTATGTCAGTGATAAGACTTCTGACTCTATTTTCTGCAGAAGACAAACTTTTTTTGAGATTATTCTTTTCTTATTTTCCTTCCTCTTAGGAAATAGATAATAAAAATGTTCTTCCTTAATGTTCTTAAATAGCAAAATAGAAACTTATCAGCACTAATTAATTCTCTCAGCTTAAAAAATAAACTAAAAGATACGCATGCATGTATATATGATATATAATATACATAAAACTTGTCTGTGAAGTCTCCATCTCCAAGGGCATTCCTCGCTGACGAAATTCTCTCTTCATACAAGAAAATTTACCAGTTGTCATAAATAAAATTATTTTCCTTTTCCACCAATTTTGTCCAGCCATTTTCAACAAAACTGGTTCAAAATTCATCTCCTTGGCAATGCCGTCTCTGATGCTGCCCTCCAACAACAATAGACCTCAATTCATGTGCCTTCACTGCCTGTGTAATTTATCCATACTCCATCAAGCAAGGAATCATAGAATTTCGAAGGTGGAAGAGATTTCTCCCTAAATGTAACAATATACTTTCCTAACCCAACATTTCTTTTGAAACACTCCAGAAATGGAAGCATGAAGACTCTGTCTAAATAACTCTAGCAATAGAAAGGTAACTTAATACCAGTGAAGGTAGCCCACAAAGGGATGGCTCCCATTGTTAGAAAGTTTATGTTGAGATTAAATCCACCTCCTTACAATTCATCCGATTTGTTTCTGATGGGCAAAACTTTCCTACAGTAGAACACACATAATGTTTTTTCATTTTTCCGGTATCACAGCTTAACAAGTATTTAAAGATAGTATCATGCGCTTTCCTTTTTAGAGTTTTCTTTTCAGTCTAGAACTACTCTTCTGCATGAGACATGATTTTGAATCCCTATACCATGCCAGATAATTTCTTCCAGACCACAACTGGTCTGTCACATAATACAATTATCAGAACAAAACACAATACTTCAACAGAGATCTGGCAAGTACCTACAAAGCAGTAACTATCAGCTTCATCAATCTAGATATATAATTTGTATTAATGCAGTTTAAGATTGCAATTGGATTTTGGGGCAGCCATGAACCACTGTTAATGGCTATGCATTCACAGTTAACTAAAACCATATTTCTTTTTCACATATGTTACTGTTAAGCCTTGTCAAATCTATCTTGAATGGATGGAGTTGTTTTTCTATCTAATGTAAGGTTTGCCATTTATCTCTATTAAATTATACCTAATGAAATTTCACCCATTGTTTCATTTCATCAAACATTCACTCTCCCTCCAGTTTCTTGTTACTGGTACACCAAAGACACATGCCGTCAACACTGTAATCTAATCATTTGAACCAAGGTAGACTAGGTCAAGACCAAGGACAGACTGCTTATGACCTGCTACCAGAGACCTCTTCTGAGCCCAACACTGGCTATTTAACTGGTCACAAATCTACCAATTTTACAAAGATACCACATGGGGCTTTATAAAATGCTTTATGGAATCTAATACATTATGTCTATAACGTTTCCCTGATCTAACAATCTCTTTGCTCTATGTAAAAAGAAAATGAGATATATAAAATGATTTTATGTGAGTGATTCCTTACTAGTGACCACTACTTCTTGCTAGATGCTGATAAAATAAACTTAAAATACAATAATCTAGAAAACCACCCAGGATCAATGCCAAACCCATTGGTATCTGGGTTGGAAACTCTATTTTTCTTTCCTCTTCTTTTTGAAATTTGGTACTACATTTGCCTGACTCTGTCTTCTGGTCCCTTTCCTATTGGCTATGTATTTTTAAAGATCAACAGTAGGTAAACAATCCCAGCAGCAAATTCTCTGAGTATCCTGGGATATAATTTTTCTGGGCTAGCATAAAACTTATTTAGAGTAGTCTATCTGAGTATCTATTCCATCTTACCAATATTTATATTTTATTATTTTCACACATGAACCCAGAGAGAGAGAGAAGGAATAACACATTGGTATTAAACTGTAAATTGAATAATTCTCCCTTCACTCTAGCGTTCAAGAATGTGATGCTTGTCACCTTAAGCAAAAATCTAGGTTAGGCCTTGAATTTTTTTAATTTTTAAAAGTTATTTTTGTGCCGGGAGCGGTGGTTCACTCCTGTAATCCTAGTACTCTGGGAGGCCAAGGCGGGAGGATTGCCTGAGCTCAGGAGTTCGAGACCAGCCTGAGCAAGAGCGAGACCCTGTCTCTACCGAAAAATAGAAAGAAATTAGCCAAACAACTAAAAAAAAAAATAGAAAAAATTAGCCGGGCACAGTGGTGAGTACCTGTAGTCCCAGCTACCCAGGAGGCTGAGGTAGGAGGATTGCTTGAGCCCAGGAGTTTGAGGTTGCTGTGAGCTAGGCTGACACCACGGCACTCTAGCCTGGGCAACAGAGTGAGACTCTGTCTCAAAAAAAAAAAAGGTATTTTTGGTACCCTTAGCATTTTTTTCCCCAACGCTCAAACAACACCGGATAATATTCATATATATCCATGTTATTCCTGATATATATCTCCTTTCGTTGTTAAGCATTTGTCTTTCAATTGTTTTAAATCTGGTGTTTATCAGCTTGCTTTGTCCAGAGTCACTCCATTTTTTCACTTGCTCCCTTTTTCCCTCCTTATTTGGAATCAATTTTGAAAAAAACTTTCTTTTTGTGAGATTCTCTAAATCTACTTAAATGTCTTCTCTTTACAGTCTCTCAATGAAAAATGTATCTTTTGCCTTAATGTTATAAAATTTATCTTACCAAATCCTGCAGGGCAGCATTTCCCAAAATATGTCCTAAGTATTACAGTCCCCTTCACACCCAGCCCTCCCAAAAAGTGAGAGTTGGGTCTGTCTCCAAATAAATTCCCTTTTGGAAATTGAAAACACACATAATCATTTTAAAGGTTCCAAATTATCTGCACTAAAGAAAACAGTTTTATTTGTTTAACTCAGAACTCCTACACTCTTTTGATCATGTAGTTGCTTTTCATGTACATTAATTTCTACCCTGTAGAACACAATTTGGCAATGTCATTTTCTCTAAATATGCCTACCAAGTCCTCTATCAATCCCCAACTCCCCCAGACACTGCCTTCTTCCTCCATCAGTTCTTCCAAGTTGGCAGGATTTTGATCTTGAATAACAGTTTCTCTAAATATTTCTCTAAATTTTGGGAAATATACATACATTTCTGAGATATATACGTGCTATAACTCCCTGATTAAATTTCAAGATTCTTGAAACTATGAGCTATTTATTATTCTCCTAAAATATCTGGCACAATGTTCAGTATACAAGTCACTCATTAAATATTGACCGGTAAAAACAACCACAATTCATCCACGGAGAGTTATTTATCATCTCGTTCCTCTTTCACTTTTGCAGGTTAAATAATCCCAATGCTTTTAACCTTTTCTCAGAAGTCCAACTTTCTAACCTTTTAATTCTTTTTTCTCCCTTTTCTTTGCTCTTTCTAGACTGTCCACAGCTCTCATTAATACTCCTGTGTCTCAGATACTGAGTAATAACTTTAGGTCTTTTATTTATGTTACTTTGTTAAGGAGGAGGGGAGAGTATTTCTGAGCACATAAATCTGCTCATAAAATTTGAACTGAAGTTGAATCCAGCTTCCCCAGGAGGGCCAAACCCAACAAGTTTACAGAATTTTCATCCTTTTCCCTACCTCCTACAGCCTGAATTCCTAGCACAAAATATGTTCCTGCATATTCAAATCATTCCAACCATAATTTTTAGAAGAACACATTATCCCCAAAACTTCTATATGGTAAAAATGATTGGCAATAGCACAGGAGTAAGATTCATTCTTGTGCTGCCTCTGTATAGAGCCTTAGCTGATCAGACTAAAACTCAAGCCTGGAAGAGCTATAAACCAGTGTGGCTAACACAGAGGCAGCAGGGCAGGGTGGGAAAGGCTCATGTGCCGGGATCAGAATATCTGGTGTTCAATCCCTGCTCCACAATTTACTGCTTGTATGAACTCTGACAGGGACTTACTCTGTGAGCCTGTTTCCTTTACTGTAAGTAACTCTTTTTGAATGGTGACTTCTAATCAGTACACCACAGTACATTACATTAAAATTACTAGTGGAGAATTTTTTAAATATGGGGCCCCTAAAGACTCTCAGTCTAAAATCAAGCCTCAAAATGTTTGTGCCCTTATAATATCCTGAAATAAAAATAAAATAAAACAAAATCAGGCCTCAAAATCTGCCCTTTTCCCCTACACTTCCCAGGCGACTCTTTGGTAGTCTACACCAGAACAAAAATGCTTTAAGGATAGGCCACGTGCCCAATGCTTCCCTGCACCTTCAGCATGTGACATAGATGCTCAGTAATGTTCATTCACTCATGCCATGTGAGATCACAGCAAGAAGACATCCTGTCTATGAACCAGGAAGCAGGCCTCCTCCAGATCCCAAATCTACTGGTGTCTTGACCTTGGCCTTCCTAGCCTCCAGAACTGAGAAGTAAACGTTTGCTGTTTAAGCCACCCACTCTGGTATTTCTGTTATAGCAGTCCAAGGGGACTAAGACATACTTTCTTCCTTATCTCATGGGTCACGACTCCCTCTTGAGTCTTATCACTCCTATTCCACTCCAACTTCACTAGCTATTACTTTCTCTTTTTTCTGGATTCTTCCTTACCTCCTCAATTTCTAAATTTTGGTGTGCTACAGGGGTCAGTCTTGGGACCACTCTCATCACCTAACTACACTAACTAGCTACCTGATCTCATCCAGTTTGACAGCTTAAATATCAACTCATATTTATATTTCTACCCCAGGCCTCCCCTCCAATTTGAGACTGACGTATCCAACGATCTGGATCATATTTTAATAAAACTGTTAAAGAAGGGACACCAGTTTAAGGGAGGCAAGCTATTACAATAATCCACATGACAGATGTTAGTAGTCTGAATCAAGGTGACAGCAGTTGAATGTGTTAAGGAAGGGTTGAATTCAAACCATTATTTGAAGACAGATATGATTTAAGATGTGCTGGTGGGTTTAGATAGGGTGTGAGAGAAGGCATAAAGTATGATACTAATATTTTGGCCTCAGCAACCAAAGGGTAGAATAGCTATTTATGACATGGAAAAGACTATAGAAGTAGTAGTTTGGGGGTCATAAAAGGAGATCCAAGAGAGGTATTCCAGAAAGTAAAAAAATATAGTTCAAGAAGGAGCAGGGAATCAATTATGTTGAATGCTGCTCATTGGTCAAATAAAATGAGGACTGAGCGTTGACAAGTATATTGAGCAACATGGAGGTTACTGGTGAGAATGACCAGAGCTCATACAGCAAAGTAGTGGCAAAAGAGCCCAAATGGAATGGGTTCAAGATGGACTAAGGGGAAAGGAACTAATCCCAATGAGCACAGAAAGTATGTATTTTATGAATAAATACACAAAAATGCTTCATATGCCTCTGTATATCACAACAGTTTGGGTTAATTGAAAAACATGAAGGTCTTCTGCTTCTTATGACAAGCCCAAGTCTATACAAAAATGTATGTGTGGGCATCTGAGCATCCCTGGCTTTCTTTTTAAAATTTGGATAAAAATATAAAAATCTCAAATGACACAAATGATAAGCACTTGGTGGTCAGGCAGTGAAACCACTATTTCTTACCAAAGGCAAATTAGCAGGCGTGTGAATTTCACTGACTATGTTCTACAAGTGTTTTCAATGAAAAACCATAAAATGTCCTACCCCACAACCATTGTTATCTTTCTTCTTCAGGAATTATGACCACAAATTTAAGAGCATTTTATTTAAGAGATTTTCCAAGAATAACTAAATTTTGGTACAAGAATATCTTTCCATTTTCCTAAGGTCTCACAATACTGAACACACACACACGTGCAGACATTGGCAAGAAATCCGAGGTCACCATTAAAAACTACGCTTCCCTCTGCTAATAGATCGAGCCATTTCACATTTAGTAATGGGAACCGTGGTTTTAAAGACTTCTATATAATACCTCTTTCTTATAATCATCCCAATTCAGTTCTCTGCCCATCAGCTCAACAATCCTGGGTAGGGCTTCCTCGGCTGCCTGGACATTTAGAAAGGCCAGGCGCGTGCGGCGAGAAATCATATCCACCGCGGTGCAGGCATACTCCTTAATCCCATATTTCACCTGGGTTAAAATTAAAGAAATATTATTAGTTCAGACCTTTCTTTAAGAAGAGGAAATAAAGTTTCACTGAAAAAAATAAATTCATGCTTCGGAAAGGTGACATTTTTCTTTCTCCTCTCCGGTTCTCCAGCAGGCATGAGACAAATAGTGGCATCACACAAGTCCACCAGCTGCCTGCCAAAGGAGGTTTGGCAAATAGGATAAACTGGACGAGAGTTAATGCTTTATTCCTGAATAGAACCTGACATAACCATGCAAACTGCACCACTTCTCATTAACCGTCCACAGTAATCACTTACCTCTCTTTGCTTATACATAACGTGGATGTTAATTTACACAGCTGAACAGGTGCAGGACGAGTATAAAAAAGTCATGGTCTCATCTCTTACATTAACCAGCTGACAGAAACCCCAAATTCAATCAACAGGTAAATGCTTACTGAACACCAATATTTTAAGGCATTGTGAATTACAAATAAACACAAATCATGGTCTCTGGTTTCATAAAATTTGAAAGTTTGACAAGAAACAAGACTTAAATCTTTAAGAAACTGTCACATCAAGGTATATCATCTGGCAGGACATGGGTGGTAAAACTTAAAGAGCTACAAATTCACAAAAGGGACAAACAATTGTGAATTAACAAGACTTGAAATAGCTACAGGGAGAAAAAAAAATCCCTATTTTATATTGTTATTATTACCACTATTAACAACACTTTGGAATTAAGATTAAAATTTTGTAAGGGAAAGGAAAGGATCTGCATGGGAAAGACATTTCACTCAAGGTTTTCACTGACACGTGTGCATTAAAACTTAGCTACCTATAATTTTTAAAGAAGATGAAAAATGAACAGATGAAATGTATCCCATGGCAGAGAAGAAATTCCCACATGACCATTCACATACCTCTGCCTCGATATATGGAAATTCTGACACAAGCCGCACTCCAACAATGGGCCATCTCTTGCCAGTCACACTTGCCATTTTGGCCACCTCGAAAGCCTTATCACCATAGGTGGTGGCAAGATGCTGTGCCACCTAGAGAAACAAATCTGCGTTAGGCAGGTACTTAGAATATCAATACCTCCTCGGTACAAAGCAAAAAAGGTACATGCTTATCTTGTCAGTTTTCTTAGTCTATAACTAACAGCTCTTGTAGAGTATCAGCAATTTTGATTCTGTGGGAAGAAACCACTTGGGCTTCGAATGCTTAGGCAAGCACTAACTCTATTACACATGAATCACTGTATGGATGACTGATGAAGCTTCAGCTTCATTTTGCTCCAATATCACTTCTGAAGAACAACATTCCTTATGCTTAAGATGGAAAGAACTGGGGATGCCTTGTATACTAGGAACAAACCAAATAAACTCCAGGTTTTATAGAAACCATTTAATAAAATGTACATTGCTTTGGGGAAACTAAAGCAAAGTAAGACCATCCTTTTTTCCTAATTGACTTTCCAGACAGAAACATACCCAGTGAAAGGAAACTCTAAATCATGGAGGCCACATCATGGTGGCCAATTCTGTCACTGGCAACAGTGAGAGATTAAGAGGAAGGTGACGTGTCAATACACACCCACCTCACTTTCAAGTCCATAATCCTGGACAAGCCTAATATAGAGTGTGGGGCTCCAATCTTTACCCCCTTGAAGGAAAAGCCCAACTGTTCTACTTGGTCCTGCTTTCAAATTGTGAGTCTTGATAGCAGCATTTATGGTATCTTCTGCCATAGATCGGTATGTTGTCCACTTCCCACCTACGAAGATATTGACAGAGAACTGATTAGGTTGACACTCCTTATTTTTCTTATAATTAACCATTTATCAACTCATTAACAAAATTCACCTGTTGTTCATAGCAAACGTGGCAAAGCAATGTGCAAAGCTTTATTCAGAATCATACAAAGAAAATCCTTGTTCATTAGAGTTAAAAGAGACCCTCGTGGGACAATTTAAGTCAAGCTTGTATGTAAAGCACATCCAAATACCAAGGTAATATCTCATACCTGCTATAGTGATAAGGCCACTCTCACTGACGTCAACAACATGATTTCGGGAGATGGACTGAGTATCTGCAGACTTGGGATCTGTAACAAGGGGCCGGATACCACTCCATGCTGCCAGGACGTCCCCTCTTCTCACTAGTGAGGATCAACACCAAGGGTTATGAGTATTATTCAAACATATTTCAAGAAAAATATCAAATAATTAATGAGGAAAGAGTTCAGTGAAAGAAATACACATGTAAACTCTTTAAAAAGGGGAGACTACCCTTAAATATAAGAACTAAGTGAGTGGATAGGTGCAAAAAAAACTCATAAAGAATTATTTTGTTATAAAGATAATCTCTGTGAAAAAAGTAAAGAGCTTGAAAATCACTGACACTGACACCAAAGAGGAAGCAAAAGAAGCAAATGTTAGCAACCCTGCAGCTAAGGCAACATGTAGCAGTTAAAAGCAGAAAAAAGAAAAAAAAAGCAGAAGCAAATAAAAACCAAGAGACTTATGAATTGTTAAATTTCCTTCTAGAATATATCTTGCTATCTTTTCTCAGGGACAACAAAGAGCCTTATTAATTAAACAAACAAATCCATAACAGGATATTTTCTGCCCTCATCAGTACCACCCTCTTATCGAGCATTTACAGGAGGCTGACCCCTGTGCAACTTACTGGCCATGCACTCCTCATCTCACTTCATCTCACAAAGCCCCACAGCATTGGTTATTATCATTCCCACTCAACGGGTGAGGAAGCAGGTTGAAAAAGTTTAACCAACCAAGCTGGGCAACAAACTTGCCCAAGACAAACTTCCTTTTTTTCTCTTCCCCTTTGAGAAGAGTTCACAAACTTCTTATGTATAGCAGAACAGCATCAGAACCTAGTTTGTAGGCACCCCATTGGAATAGAGAAAATATTTGCAGATCATATATCTGATAAGAATATATCATATATCCAAAATATATAAGTAATTTCCAAAACTCAACAACAAAAAATAAACAACCCAAATTAAAAATTGGACAAAGGACATGAATAGACATTTCTCCAAAGAAGATATAAAAATGTCCAACAAGCACATAAAGTTACTAAACACCACTAATTATTAGGAAACACAAATGAAAACCACAATGAGATGGCACTTCACATCCATTAGAATAGCTATTGTCAAATAAAAACAAAACAAAACAGAAAATAAATATTGGTGAGGATTTGGAGAAACTGAAACCCTTCTGCATTGCTGGTGAAAAGGTAAAATGGTGCAGCTACTACGAAAACTGTATGGCGGTTCCTCAAAAAAATTAAACATTTAGAATTACCATATGAGCTAGCAATTACACTTCTGGGTCTATACCCAAAAGAACTGAAAGCAAAGAACATTTATACACCCTCGTTCATAGCAATATTCACAATAGTCAAAAGGTAGAAGCAAACGAAGTGTCTGTCAACAGATGAATAAACAAAATGTAGTATTACACACACAATGAAGTATTATTCAGCCTTAAAAAGGAAGGAGGTCCTGACACATGCAACAATATGGATGAATCTTAAAGACATTATGCTAAATAAATAAGCTAGTCACAAAAGGACAAATATCACATAATTCCACTTATAAGAGGTACTTAGAGTGCTCATACTCACAGAAGCAGAAAGTAGAAAGGTGGTTGCCAGGGCTTAAAGGGGGATGGAGAGTTAGTGTTTAATGGGTACAGAATTTCAGTTGAGGAAGATAAATAAAAAGCTTTGGAGATGGAGGTGGTGATGGTTACACAACAATGAGAATGCACTTAATGCCACAAAACTGTACACTTAAAAATGGTAAATTTTATGTTACATATATTTAACCACTATAAAAAATGAAGATATTGCATAAAAGGATAAGTTGAGACAATTCAAGTCTCAAATTATGAGAGGGTTAAGGAAGTATTTTACATATAACACAGAAGTATCAGGACTTATATGAGCCCATACTATGCCCATACCTTAGTTCAAATTAACAAATCCCATGCAGGGAGCACAGTTTTGGGAGCAGAGGGCAGGCTGGATTTCAGCTCCCACTCACCCCTTGCTCGCGTGCCACCCCTTGGTACGCTAAACATCCCGTATGGCTACACACAGCAACACCTGAAAAGCATTTAGATACTCTTTGTGTGAAAAGTCATAAAGACCCCTTGAAATATTTGGAAGAACTCTGAAAAAAAAAAAAAAAAAAAAAACACACACCCACACCTTACCAAGTACAGAAAAACGACCCTAAAAACAAGTTACGTTGGATGACAGATAACCCCTGTCTTGATCTAAAATGAATAATAGATCTCTGATAAAGATAAATCCAACTAAAGTAAATCTGGCATATTTTAATACTAGAATCTGAAAGAATAGGTACCCATAAACTTCTATGGGAGTATTTAATCAAATCCATATCTAAAACATTGTAACTGAAACAAAGGAAGAAAACATAATTAACTGATGAGGAAAGCCTAAGCTTCTTGGTCTTGTTAATTGGATTCTATCTGGGATCTCAATGTTGAGATTCCATTTCTACATCTGCCCCTCTGATGCGTGCATTCTCTTACACAGGTTTAATCCTGATGGCTTCCGAGGAATGAGGGTTAATTCCTGCTTTACACAATTCTACATGTCTTGTAAAACCTCAACACAAATAGAGCATAGTGTTTTAATCTTTACCAAAAACCTAACTAGGAAATTACCACTATTTTCCATTAGAGTTCACATCGCCCTCTGAGATAAAAATAAAACTTAGCCAACCCACTTACAACGTCACTGTGGTCACCACACAGTCCCTCGAGTATCTGTTAAATTCCTTAAGTAGCCACACTGATCAGGAATTTGCTTTCAACTCTTGAAGCTCTCTGACTAATTTTAAAATTATTTGATGGAAAATTAGACTTTCCAGAGTAAATTTGAGGCATCTGCAAATAATCTGCAGCAAATGCTTTACCTTTTCTGTTGTAACAGGCAGAAAAACACAGCTATGAAATTGCATTGGCTAAAACAAAAAAGACCAAGCTAAAATATGCAAGTTTTTCACTCATAGAGGGACATTAAATAAAACATTGTGTACATTAATACCATTTTTAACCCGTATTTCTGGGATTGATATTCAAAAAACAGAAAAAAGAAAAGAAAAGAAGGAAGGAAGGAAGGAAGGAAGGGAGGGAGGGAGGAAAAAAGAGAGGAAAGAAAGAAAGAAAGAAAGAAAAAGAAAAACACTCCTTGAAACAGTTCATAATGTGTTTTATTTTGCTTGACATCTTATCTTAGCACCCAGCTTTTTAGCCTAAGAATTATATCAGATGAATGTTGGGATTAAACTTATTTAAAAGGATACGTTTAAGGATAACCAAATTTCTTATTTGAAATATGAATTAATCTTTATGGGTGGCAGGATTTTTATATTATTGCCAAAAAGGTGTTGGATCTGGTTATCTACCTATCAGTTCCCTCCCAACCTTGAAATTTAATGATTTTTATGGATTATTCAAAATGCTATTTGCTGCAGAAGTAATTTGCCTCACCACTCAAATTCAGTAATGACTGCTCAGGACCTTAGGTATATTCTACATCTATGGGGCATAGCAGAGCTAAACATGTGAGACATTAATTCGAACCTCTTGAATAAAAAACAGCAATTAACTGTTCTAACAGGTTTCTCTCCATATCACCTATTTGCCTACAGTGGAAAGCTTGCACACTGTTAAACAAATTCTAATTAAAGTTTTCTCAAAAAAGAGATTCAAAATAGTATATGGGTAGTCTGAATAAAGAATTATTAAGATATCTTTTAATTCTGCCTTGTGCTGTTGCAGCCACATTATAACTATGGGGGAAACAATCTTAGGATGAAACCAGCTTGGAGGGTGGTCAAGTGAAGATAAATAGGGGTCACGTATCATAGACATTGCTAAATCACTAAATTAATCACCTCTTGAGGCTTCTTATATCTGGAGCTCTTGTTTTACAAGATAATCAATTTCTTTATTTCATTTAACAACAAAAACAAAAAAAAACCAAATTCGACGACTCTATTAAATTGAGTATTTCCTTCTCTAAATGTATATTTAAATACCTCTAGATTCCGAAGAGCAGCACTGTCCCACAGACTTTTCTGTTGTGAAGCAAAAGTTCCATAAGTCCACTGTACAGTTTGCTAGCCATCGGTGGCATGCAACTATTAAGCATTTGAAATGTGGTTCACATGACTGAGGAACTGAGTTTCAAATTTCAGTTAATTTTAACTAATTTAAGTTTAAATAGCTACAAGCGACTAATGGCTATCATATAACAGAGGGAAGCTCTAGAGTAAAAAGCCTCCAAGTGGTAGATCTCAGACTTGTATCACCATGGCCACCTCGCCCACATCTCTATGGAGCACCCTTTCATTGACATTTGATTGTACCTCCTTTCCTCATGAGAATAAATTCTGCTGTAATAGCCTCCAAACACTTTACTGTCATCACATTCCATATTTATCATTTCAACCTATCCTCCCCTCTTATGAATCTCATGAGTTCAAAGAAATAAAAAATATTTTTACTTAAGTACTTCTACCCTCAAGTTCTTGCCCCAAACTGGTTCTATCACATAGGTTGTGGCCAAGAGTAAGTAGTGAACATTACCCACCTTAACTCTCCATATAACATGTATATGGAGATATGTATACGTATAACATGTGAAGAAAATAACATAACCCAGGGTTTCTGTGCTTCAGAGCTCAAAGATTCACCTTGATTTTTTTTGGTTCTCATACTGCCAGACTAGCTAAACAAAATTTCATTACTGTTTCACCGCTTTCTCACCATGTTTAAAGTCTTCAGCAATGTCAATTCAGATATTTCTCAATATCCTAAATATTATATCAAGTAAAGGGTCACATACAGTTATTAAATATTAAGTAGAAAATTAAAGCAATATCTGAACTTTTATATCAAACTATAAGAGCTGATATTACAAAATCTAAAGCAAGAATAGTTGGACCTCTGAGCCAATATGCTAAGCTTTATACAGGTTTCTAATGACTATATATTTAATATTAATAATTGGATATTACCTTCCAAAATAAATGAATGCTTTAAATATAACAAAATGAAAGGAAACAAAACTACTATTAAATAAATTTGAGAAAAATCCATCATTAAAGACCACTTATTAGAGTGGCTCACCCAGATGGTACCCAGTTGATTTTTTTAGGTGCCAATTTCCCAGATGGGGGGAAAAAAACCATGGAGTACCTCCAGTGTATATAAATGTATTTGGCAATATTTTCAAAAGGTAGTGAGAAAGTATAAGAGTCCTTCTAACATCATGTTTAAGAATCATTTTCATTACATCCCTAATAAATAACTTATTCAGGTTTTAGTATATGTAATATATGAAGAGTAAAATATAAATAGTAAAGTCGAATAGACAATCTTCACAGCTGGTTGAAAAAATTAAGTAAGATGTGATTGTTTCAAACTACAATATTTTACATACTTGGCAAGATAAGTGTTTGTTTTAAAAATTAATAGAAAATGAAGCCCACAGGAAGTGACAATTAAGAGCTAAATATGTGGTTTGCTTCACATTAGTTATTTAGGCATACGTTTTGGGGTGTTCTTTCTCATGTTTGCCACTTTCAAAAAAATCAATAAAAGACATGTGAAAATATCTAAATGAACACAGGGGAAATAGTGTCAGAAATCAATACTTCTCTACCAGCATGTTTAACCTGCTGAAATGAAGTGTTAATCACAGAAATAAGATACCATATTACATTTATAAACTAATGAAACTAGAAAAAGCAAAGCGCGTGACACTATAATTAAACAGCTGGAAGACATCCAAGCCTGTGTAAGTTGATAACCCTAGTACAATCTCTGGCAGTGAAAAGGCAGGTCTGCAGTGAGTTGATATGGCCGGCTCAGTTGTTAATTGAATAAGAGGCAATCTATAAACACTACTAATTGCATATGTGAAAACCTGTGTACAAGTAGAGAAGCTGCCTGGAGAAGCACTCCAGAAAAACTACATGGATAAAGCACTCAGCAAATCTTCTGTCTCTCTCAATCCCGTGAAGTCATAGCTTAGTTTTGCCACTGCATCCTTCTGATTAACCTCTACACAGCAGACTTAATGATACATTTTTCAAAAGATCATTTTTCTTCCTAACTCGATACGAACTGCAGAACTATCAATTACCCATTTCAGAAAAGAACAAACAAGTAATCTAGAAAATTCAGCCTGTGAATGGAAAGCTTTCTAAATTGTAAAAGAAGACATGGTCTTATTCCCAACAGGCAAAATGCTTTTTAGAATTGTTCCAACGCATTTTGCAGAAGTGTGGCAGCTGCTGTGAACAGCATGGAGTGTTAAGATTTGACACTTTTTTTTTTTCTTAAGGATATAGCCATTTGGGGAGGCTCAGAAACTGTTGTCAGAATTTTACTTATCCATTTAATAAATCCTTTTAGAATGATTATTTCAACCCTGGTGAATGTAAAACATTATAAAACTATTGCTCTAGGATCTAAATCAAACTTTTTATTTTTTAAATCTGTAGAGAAGACTGGTTGGCCCAAGGGATTAGTTACGAGATATGAAATCTCTTCTAGTTTAACATTCAAATCCAAATAAGGCTAGTAGAGAGCAAAGGTCATTGTCATTCTAAAGGTGTCTAGCAGCTTCCATGAAATGAATTGATAGACTAATCAACTCCCTATTGGATATAATATCTCATTATGAAACTCAGAACTACCAATCAGAGTACTGCACACTATTCAGAAGCACAGGTTTGGAGCCAGACTGACTTACACTCAGATTATGGCCCCAAAGCTAACTAGCTATGGGCAAGAAGCTTAACGTTGCAGCCTCAGTTTCTTCAACTATACAGTGGGACTTACAAAATAAACCTAGTAAGGTTGTTATAAGTAATCAATGAGATAATATAGGCAATATGTTTAGCACAAAAAGTATTCAGTCATGGTAGAGTGTTTAAAAATAAAGCATACAAATATAAATATTAAAATACCTTTATCGACAGCATGTAATCAAATGACTGAATAGTGCCTGAAGCTGAGTTTCTCTCTCACATTTCATCACTACAAAAGAGAATATTAGGTTTCACTAAAATTTCTTGGGAAAAAATACAAATTTGAATGGGGAGATCCCCACCTACAACATGGGCACAGCGGCCTTCCGGAACCTACACCTGCTTCCAGCACATCCAGCTTCTCAGCAGTATAAGTAGTTAGATTTTTCATCCTTACTGCATTTGAACTTTAAGATTTTAGAAACTGTCAACATGGAGCTCTCTGTTCTTGAATTAATTCGATATCTTGCTCCAACAATCTAAGCTTCCTGATGTTAAGGCCCAGATATAAGCCTGCTTTAACAAATATTATACCCAGGTAAATATGAAATGAAGCAGGATTCACTAACAATAATAAATACTTTAAAATACAATCATATCCAGATGTTTAAGCTCCTCCTAGATTGCAATAGGGAAAAAAAAGTATCAAGCTAAAATTGCACCACAGTTTGAGTATTTAAATATGAATGCTAAACAAAGCATGACTATTTCCCAAATAACTGTGTCTGAGTGTGTATGTGTTTGAGCATAAACATTAACCACATGGATTTCAATTATTTGTATTTAATACAGTTACACTATTACTATAGATATCCAAAGCGATTCTATTCAGAGTAAAACTATATCCATTACTTTAGATTAGAAGCAGCTAAGACTATACAATATGGATTAATCAATTAAACTAGGAGAGTCACCTGAATTATTTTTTAAAGCAGTTTGTTTTCCTTGTGAATATGTGATCACATGATGAAAGAAAACCTTTAAGAAAGAAGGATTCATAGATGCTAATTAATCTAAACTAAATCCAAACTAAAATAGTGTCTTTGTATACCCTTCACTGAAGCCAATACTGTACAAAGATTCCTGATTTATTTAATAAAGATTATTTTAAAAAAAAATGATTCCGGTGTTTAGGGACTTCTGGTTCAGAACACTAGAACAATGGCTCCCAAACCCAAGTCCTCCACCAGGCTGCTATAGAAGGACTCCCGGGGAACACCCCCAGATTCTAATCAGTAGTTCTGGGTGGGGCCTAGGAAGTATGCACTTTTAAAAAACTTCCTATAGCAAAAAAAGATGAATGATTCACAGAGTAAGAAATTTAAATGACCCTTAAACATATTTAAAAAAAAAACTCAACCACACTCAATAGGAGAGGTGCCATTAAAACTTCACTGACATACTTCTTACCTATTAGACTGACAAAAACCCTGCAAGTTTGCCCACGTTCTGTTGGCCTGGCTATGGAAAAGAGGCCCTCTTTCACAACGCAGATGACAATGCAAATGACAATGCAAATGGTACGAGCCCTATGGAGGGGAATTTGGTGATAAATTCTCCCAAAATCACATATTCATTTACCTTTTGACCCAGAAGTCCAGTTTCTAGAAATCTAGTTCAAAAATACATTGGCAA